TTCCTGACAGGAAGAAGAGCACAACTGAACCACTCCCGACAGACGGCCAGCCAGCCAGCTTCTCCTTAATGATAATAACAATAACAATAGAGTCCTAGAGACAGAAGGGGCCCCAAACAGGGCCACCAGCCCAACCCTTTTCTTTTTGCCAGGCAGGCAAGAAGAGCACTTTTTTCACTTTTCTGCCTTCCGGCCAACACAACACAAGCAGACCCCTCCCGACAGAGGGCCACCCAGAACCCCAAGCAAGACAGGAGAGACTCCTGGGCGCCTCCGAGACCCAGAGGAGAAGTGTGGTGGGGGTCTCTCTGTCTTTCTTTCCCCAGAAGCCTTTGCGGGGCGGGGAGGGGAGGGGAGAGGGGGAGTGGGAGGGGGGTGGGCTGCGCGTACTTGTGGCTGGCGGCGGTCCAGGCGACGGGCTCGAGGTTCTTGGCCAGGAGCGGAGAGGCCAGGCGGAGCAGCGCCAGCAGCAGGCCCAGCAGCCGCGCCGAGGAAGAGGAAGCGGAAGGGGAAGCGGAAGCCGGGCGGCGGGGGCGGCGGCACTTCCGGGGGCCCGGGGGCGCTGCTTCCTCCTCCTCCTCCTCCTCCTCCTCGCCCTCCTCCTCCGGGCGCACCATCCTCCGCCGCCGCCGCCGCCGCCCCCCTCCCCCTGCTCCTCCTCCTTCTTCAGCGTCCAATTCGCTTAATCCACTTCCTTCCGGACTCCTCGCCTTCCCATCTCCCGCTCCGGTTGCCCCGGCAGCGCCGATTCCGCTCCGAACGGGGTCCCCTTCCTTCCTTCCTTCTTTTCCTGGCTTCTTTCTCCCCTTCCTTCCTTCTTCTCCGGCGTCCCGGCCCCGACTGGCGCTCCCTCCGCCCGCGCCGCCGCTCTACTCTCCCGCGCAGGCGAACGCCGCGGACAGCCCAAACCCAGGGGGCGGGGCCAGCCAATGGCAGAGCGGCGCGCAGGGGTCCTCGCCAGGGAGGGCCCGGCCACGCCCCCTCGGGGCGGAGGGAGAGAAAACGGGGCGGGGCCGCGGGGGGGTCCGGAGCCACGCCCACTCCTCCCTCAACTCTCTCCTGTGGCGCCTTCCGCCCACGACGGGCCGATGCTGCCCCCTGCCGGGAGGAGGCGGAGAAGCAGGGCTCTGCGGGCTGAGCCTCCAAGAAGCAGCATTACTACTATGGGTGGTGGTTGTAGCTTTTTCCGGGCTGTATGGCCATGCTCTAGAGCGAGGCATTCTCTCCTGACGTTTCGCCTGCATCTATGGCAAGCATCCTCAGAGGGAGTGAGGTCTGTTGGAACTAGGAAAAAGGGTTTATATATCTGTGGAATGACCAGGGTGGGACAAAGGACTCTTGTCTGCTGGAGCTAGGTGTGAATGTTTCAACTGACCACCTTGATTAGCATTTGATGGCCTGGCAGTGCCTGGGGCAATCTTTTGTTGAGAGGTGATTAGATGTGCCTGATTGTTTCTCCTCTGTATTGTCAAAGGCTTTCATGGCTGGAATCACTGTGTTGTTGTAGGTTTTTCCGGGCTATATGGCCATGTTCTAGAGGCATTCTCTCCTGACATTTCGCCTGCATCTATAGCAAGCATCCTCAGAGGTAGTGAGGTCTGTTGGAAGTAGGAAAATGGGTTTATATATCTGTGGAATGACCAGGGTGGGACAAAGGACTCTTGTCTGCTGGAGCTAGGTATGAATGGTTGTTGTAGGTTTTTTCGGGCTATATGGCCATGTTCTAGAGGCATTCTTTCCTGACGTTTCGCCTGCATCTATGGCAAGCATCCTCAGAGGTAGTGAGGTCTGTTGGAACTAGGAAATTGGGTTGATATATCTGTGGAATGACCAGGGTGGGACAAAGAACTCTTGTCTGCTGGAGCTAGGTGTGAATGTTTCAACTGGCCACCTTCATTAGCATAATAATATTTCATTATTGTTGAATGTTGAGAGGTGATCTCAACAAAAGATTGCTCCAGGCACTCAAATGCTAATCAAGGTGGCCAGCTGAAACATTCACACCTAGCTCCAGCAGACAAGAGTCCTTTGTCCCACCCTGGTCTTTCCACAGATATATAAACCCTTTTTCCTAGTTCCAACAGACCTCACTACCTCTGAGGATGCTTGCCATAGATGCAGGCGAAACGTCAGGAGAGAATGCCTCTAGAACATGGCCATATAGCCCAAAAAAAACCTACAACAACCCAGTGATTCCGGCCATGAAAGCCTTCAACAAAGCATTACTATGAATTATGTCCAGGATGCTTGTTTATACATCAAGAGACTCAAAGCAGCCATGCATCTCCCACTCGTATTAGAATGTATAAGTCTGAGAATTCACAGATCAGACAGAGTATCATGGACTTGGAAGGGACCCCAAAGGCCACCCAGTCCAGCCCCATTCTTCACTAGCAGTCCTTTGCAACTCAGGTATGGTCTGCATACCACTCCCTGTTTGGATACCAGCCAGCACGTCAACGCCTGAAATCCAGACATAGTTTTCTAAGATCTACAGAGACACTCGCTGGAACACCTCAGCAAGCGAGAGTCCAAAAGTGGCAGGCTCAAACCCAGAACCTCAATCAGTGGCTGATACCAAATGAGAGACTGGGCACACAGAAGACTGGGTGACTTGGAAGGCACTAAACACATTGCGCTCTGGTACCACGAGATGCAGAGCCAACCTTCAGAAATGGGGCCACAAAGTGAAGTCCACGACATGTGAGTGTGAAGAAGAGCCAACCACTGACCACCTGCTGCAATGCACCCTGAGCCCTTCTTCCACATGATGCACCAGGGAGGACCTCCTTGCGGCCACACCAGAGGCACTCCAAGGGAACAGAGACTGGTCAAAGGACATCTAATCAACCACCAAGCTTGCAAACTTTGTGTTTTGGTTGTTTGTTAAAAAATGCTCCTGACATGATAAATAAATAAATATATGTATGTATATATGAGATAGATATAGTATTATAGCTTAGGAAGGGACCCCCAAAGGTCATGCAGTCCAGCCCCCTTCTTAGCTAGGAATCATTTACAAGTCGGATGTTTGAAACTTGGGGATGGCCTGTGTGTGTGTGTGTGTGTGTGTGTGTGTGTGTGTGTGTGTGTATATATATATATATATATATATATCCACACACACACACACCTACGTATAAATACAACTCGGAGATGGCCTATGCGTGTGTGTGTACATAATAATAATAATAATAATAATAATAATAATGATAATGATAATGATAATAATACATCTGGCCCTGCCATAGTGTTTTAAATCTCTTGTGTGTTATTGCTTATATGTTTACTTATATTTTTATATTGTTTTATTTACCTGTTTGCTTTGTTGATATACTGTTGTATTTGTATTTGACAGGCTTGGCCTCATGTAAGCCGGCCTGAGTCTCTTCGAGGAGATGGTGGCAGGGTATAAATAAAGTTTTATTTAATTTTATTATTATTATAAAACTTTATTTATACCCCGCCGCCATCTCCCCAAGGGGATTCGGTATGGCTTACGTGAGGCCAAGCCCTACAATACAGTACAACAATGCTAATAACAACATACAATGGCAATAAGATAAAAATTAAAAATTAAATGAAAATACAAAAAGTAATATAAAAAACACATCAAACAATATAAAATCACAATTAAACACAGAATATATATATACATATCCATACACACACATATATATACACACATATAAATGTATATTTGTATGTGTGTGTGTGTATATATATATATATATACACACACGCACAAATATACATATATATATATGAGAAAGATATAGTATAGTTCACAAGTCGGGTGTTTAACTCGGGGGGTGGCCTGTATGTATGTGTGTAATATATTTATGAGATATAGTACCCTTGTTGTGAAGGGACCCCCAAAGGCCATCTAGTCCAGCCCCGTTTTTATCTAGGAGTCATTTGTAAGATGGATGTTTGTAACTTGGGGACAACGTGTGTGCGTGTGTGTGTATGAGATCTAGTATCATAGATTTGGAAGGCCCCATTGTTCTTAACTAGGAGTGGTATGGGCCAAGGAGGGATCTTGGCCACTGGTCGGGCTTCTCTGGAGACAGGGATGTGGTGCAAGGCAGGACTTGGAAGACTTTGCAGACATCCCCGGGAGGGAGGGACACTTTTGTGGGTGTGAATGTGTGTACATACCTGCATGTATACACACATACGCACCCAATAGCCCTGCCTTTCCGATAAGGAGCAGCTTGGCAGCCAGCCATCTGGAAAACATTTGCCTTTGCTGCTGATAAGGGACAAAGGGCAGCCCCGGGGTTCGGCCGGCCCTTGGCCATTCCCAGCAGCGTTTGGCCCTTTGGGAGGGAGGAAACAGCAGGAAAAGCACCATCAAAGCACCCCCAACAGATGGCCATCCAGCCTCAATAACATTGATGATGATGGTGATGATGATGATCTAGTTGGAAGAGACCTCAAGGGCCATCCAGTCCAACCCTCTTCTGCCTTCATGCAGGAAAAGCACCATCAAAGCACCCCCCAACAGATGGCCACCCAGACTCAATAATAACAATGATGGTAGTGGTGGTGGTGGAGGAGGAGGAGGTCTCCCATTGTGGCCCCTGGGAGGGTGCAGGAAGCGGGCCGCACACACACACTTCTGGCCTCCATTTCTGAGGGGCCACAGAGGGCATGTCTCAGGGGAAAAAGGCAAATTCGCCATGCCAAAACCTGGCCCTGCAACCCAACTTTTCTTCTTGAGATCTTTCATCCTTCCTTCCTTCTTTCCTCCCCTCCTTCCTTCCTTCCTTCTTCTTCCTTCCTCCCTTCCTTTCTCCCTTCCTCCCTTCCCTCCCTCCTTCCTTCCTTCCTTCCTCCCTTCCTTCTTTCCTTCCTTCTCTCCTTCCTTCCTCCTCCCTTTCCTCCCTTCCTTCTCTCCCACTTTCTTTCCTTCCCTCCTTCCTTCCCTTCTTTCCACCTTTCATGCATCCTCCCGCCCCCTCCTTCCCTCCTTCTCTCTTTCCTTCCTTCCCCTCCCTCCCTCCCTCCCTTCTTCCTTTTCTTCTTCCTTCCTTCCTTTTCCTTCTTTTCTTCCTTCCTTCCCTCCTTCCTTCTTTTCCTTCCCTTTTCTTCCCCTTCCCTTTTCCCTCCCCCTTTTCTTCCTTCCTTCCTTTTCTTCCTCCCCTCATTCTTTCCTTCTTTCCTTCTTCCTTTTCTCTTTCCTTCCTTCCTTCCCCCCATTTCCTTCTTTCCTTTCCTTTCACCCTTATCCCCTCTTCCTTCCTTCCTTCCTCTTCCTTCTTCCTTCCTTTCCTTTCCTCCTTCCTTCCTCCTTCCTTCCTCCTTCCTTTCCCTCCCTTCCCTTCCTTTCCCCCCCCTCCCCTCCCCTTCCCTCCCCTTCCCTCCCCTTGAGGGGTAAAAACTCCCCCCCCCCCCAGGAGAGGCCCTGCTGTTGCTGGTGCTGTTGCAAGTGTGGTGTTTGCTCAACTCATGGCTCAGGCTGCCTTCCCTTCCTTCCTTCCTTCCTTCCTTCCTTCCTTCCTTCCTTCTCTCCTTCCCTCTCTTGACTTTGGTGGGCATCTCCTCATCTGGCCTCCATATTCATTTCTGAGGGGCCACAGAGGGCATGTCTCAGGAAAAGAAAGGCAAATCTCACTACGCCAAAACCTGGCCTTGCAACCCAACTTTTCTTCTTGAGATGTTTCATCCTTCCTTCCTTCTTTCCTCCCCACTTTCCTTCCTTCCCTCCTTCCTTCCTCCCTCCTTATTTTCCTCCCTCCCTTCGTTTTCTTCCTCTCTCTCCTCTTCCTTCCTTTTCCCTCCTTCCTTCCTCTCCCTTCTTCTTTTCTCCTCTCTTTCTTCTTCCTTCTCTCCCTTCCTTCCTTCCTTCCTTCCTTCCTTCCTTCCTT